AGATATGTTTCATTGCACTTTTTATTTTTACTGTGCACACAGTTTTTACAGATGGATTATGTTTTGTCAGTTTAAGCATGTTCAAACTCATTAACTGTCTTCTTATGATTTAAAGCAATACCTTTTTTTTTCTGATTTACATAAAGTGATATGTGTACTAGATCAATTGTAGAATTATGCTATTTAACTGGTGAGCTAGACAGTTATTATATTAGTCTTGCTAAACAAAATTTGATTTCATCTTTATATGAATATTAAACAGATAAACAGTAACACGATGAAAGCGATGTGCTAGATCATTTTTGAAGTATTTTACTAAAACATTACAACATGCAACAACATTTGTATCTATAGAATAAATTGCTTTCACTAAATGGCCTTCTATAACACAAACTACTCCTCTCGTATCGTCAAACAAAAAAGACCATTTTTTTTTGGTGTATTATTCTAATATCAAATTAACTCATGCTGATATGTAAAGTACCATTTTACGATAGCAAATAAACTTCCATTGAGTCTTACTCAATTTCAAAATGTTCCCCCCTTCCCTACATCTTTCTAAAAAACATGATTTTTGTACATTGTAACTCTTATAACTCAGCTATAGTATGAACTAGAGAGAGCTGAAAGTTCGCATGACAGTAAGACGTTCAAATATGTATAATACATTAAAAAACATGCAATAATCGAGAGAAAGACAATGAGTTTCAGTAGAACATGGAAATATCCTTTGTATGAGAAACGAAGATCTCTTTGAAAATGACGATTCATTTTCTTTTACTTTGTTCATTGTAGTTATTCTCAATATTCCAATCAATGCTTCATGGGCACTGGCATAAGAACTAGGGCACGATCTCGATAGAGTATTCTCACAAAGTTGATCCATTCGTCTATCGAAGTGATATTTGACCGACCAGTAGGACCAATTGAGACTTAAAACAGATTCAAAATGTTCTCTCTCGATTCGTCATTCCCGTTCTGGGTTTATGTTTATTTTATGGGGTGTTCAACTGATGAGAAGACATTGCTAGAAGAATCAATACTCAGAAATGTTCACTGAGATTTAGTCATAGAATGAGTCATATCATATTCGTAACACCCTTCAAGTCTCTCTCGATTTTTTGTCTAGTAAAACGGTTTTTACAATAATAAAGAATACCTATTCACAATCCGCATAGAAAGAGCTTTTGAATGGTGTACTCCAAATTTTATTTGATCCAGCCTTGTCTTTGAGTGATAAGTACATCTCTGAACGACATTAAAATGTAGTCTGTAAAAACTAGATGAGACGCATGTTCCTAAACATATCTCTCTGCGCTTTTCTTGAGTTATCAATAATCTATGTTTGAAGAGCTTTCTTACTAAGCAGTCAGTCATTTCTAATGACCGATATTTGATTACTCAGTAAAAAGTTGTGTTTAGCATAGTCTATAATTGAAAAAGTTCACTAATTGTTTTCTAAGAACCCTCTTATTTAAAAAATTCAAACTACTTATACAGGGTGTTCCAAAAGTCCGCTCGAAAGAGAAACGTGATTATCTCTGTAACTGTTCAAGCGATTTACTTGATGTTTTTATAGTTTCATTTCATATTCATTAAAGTTTTATTTCATATAAATTTGTCTATAACAAATATACAAAATGATTACTTACAAATGCAATACTCAAACATCCCCTTTGCAACAAAGCTGTAAGAACATTACATAAATTTTTATTTTAAAAATTTCTATAACAACCGTTAAGAGCATGTTAAAATATAGCGAGATAGTGGAGTGAAAAGAATTCATATAGAACTATTGATATTGTTACGCAATGTTTGAAAGACAACATTTATGTTGCAATGTTACGAAATCGACTGTTGGGACAATTTTTTTGGCGGTAAGATTTTCAACGAAAAAAAAAAGATTTTTATAATACGTTTAGACTTTCTTGTATTCTAGAATTACGAACATTATGCTAGATGAATCCTATAGTATTTTACCAAGATGAAACTCTTCCACATTGTAGCCGTGAAGTTTGTAATTTTTAAAGAACATCTCTCCAAACAAGTACAATAGGTCAGTTGACCTAATGTGACTCGATAATTTTTCTTAGAAACATTTTTGCAAGACATTGGTTAAAGATATCATTAAGTTGGATATGAAAATCTATAACAAGGTCAAAAAAATTTCAAAAGAAAAATTTGCGTAATGTTTTTACAGATATATATTGCAAATGGGAAGTTTTTGAAATGAAACTAGAAAAACCTCAAGTAAATCGCTCGCAGAGTTAAAGAGATAATCACGTTTCTTTTTCGAGCGAACTTTTGGAAACACCCTGTATAAGAATAAGCAAATCAGCAAAGAAATGAACGAAGTTCATAATACTTTTCTCATTTATTAAACAGAAAAGAAACAAGTTGATGCACATATATGCGAGTGAGGTGCAACTTTTGTAGTACACGGTAATAGTTTTCCAACACTTTATTCTTTTCTTCGTGGAGATATAAGATACTTCATCAGAAATACACTGTTGATAATACAAAGATCAGCACTGATTCACTGAAACTCAGCGTAATAAAGCTACTTTATATTTGTTTCAAAGAAGAAGTTCCCTCTATCAACTTATTTTCCACCAAACACTTCAATTTTTTATTTCCATATAATTTGATAGAGCATTGATTAGTCTATCTAATGGTATAGTTTTTTGATTTATTTCATATCTTGACGCGAAAAAAATGTTACATAAAATACAGCATGAAGCTATTTCGAATAGTGGAAGAAAAAATAGATTTTACTGCTAAAATTTTAGACATCTTATCTACCAATAAAATCAAAAATTGTTGCTCTAGTCAGTCATATATTAATGGTCAATGATTGTGATAATTACATGACTAAAAGCTACTCGATCAGAATAAATACTTCAATTTTTTACATCAATTATTTGAGGAGAAAACCAAGACAGTATACAGAGAAAGAAAGATTTTCTTTTCCTTCATTTCTCAAAATTCATCTAGTTTCTTATCAATATATGAAACAAATAATCCTCGTCGGCAGGACTGACTTAATCTTCGACTGAATTCAATCTTGTTATCATTTTCTCTGTTCTGCTTTAACAATTATTGTGCAATAGATGCACAGACGAAAAACTACCTGTAGTGTTTTCAGTGACGACCATTTTGTCAAAGAGTTTTACTTAATCAAACATCTCGCAGTGCTTTGTCATGATTGAATTAAACCCATGTCCTAATCCTCTTACAACGTAGTCCGAGCATATTTGTTCTTCCTCTCAAATTGACCATAAATCTTTTGGTGGATGTTTCCTTGACTCCGGCACTCTTTTGACTCTGACACATAGAAACTTATTTTATTTCATATGATCCTTCCTTAAGTCCAGGAAATATCGTTAATTTCTCAAAAAATCCGTTCCTGAACTCAAAAAATTCAACTCAAAATTATGAGAAATCGACTTTCGTCGACCGTTATGAAAAGAAATTCACCTTTGATGTTTTTTTATCCTGCCACAAACAGACCGACAGACAAACTCATTTCACTTCTTTTCACATCAGCCTCCCTGCAATTGCGGGAACAAAAAAAATATTCGTTTACAGAGCATAGCTTTTTAATTCATATAACTCATCATCATGTTGGTATCCTCGATAATCTCAAACAAACACCATAAAAAACAACGATTTGAACTTAAATGACGTTTAAAAATGCTTGTCGGAAAATAAGGCAGCCATTCTCCGAACTGTGATCAGCTCTATTCTGAAGTAAGAAGAATTATTTGGTGCACTCTGTGATACATTATTGACTGAATTGATATTCCACAGTGTGATCCTCGAATTCACTGATCTTCAGGAATCATTGATGGACCCGAGTTCTCAAATCTCAAGCACGTTAAGTCAAACTTTATGAAAAACCATGATTTTCTTCAAAAAATCTTTCTTCAGTGGAAAAATCCATTCGAAAATTTTCAAAAACCAATGCCACCAATCAATTCCTCGACGCCAAAAACCTTTAGTCAAAGTTGACAAGAAATCATTGTTTTCCTCGCAAAAGAGTTCAAAAAAGTGAGCTCTACATGGAGCTCACTTACCCATCCACCCTTTCCCAATAAAACACAAACCATGTTCTCTGGTTTATCGCAGTAAGATCGCATTCCACTGAGATACTAGCTGTGGAGTTATAACTAATGTTCACTAGATATATAACCTGGGATCTTAGGGCATCAACTTGGATGCTAGTAGCATCACGTAGGATCCTATCAACATTCCAGGTGATGCTACTAGCACTTCAAGTGACACTAATAGCCTCCCAAGTGATAATACTAGCATACCAATTGATGCTAGTACCATCCCAGATGATGCTACTGCCATCCGAGGTGGGTCCTAAAATGAGCTCCTAGTTTTTAGTTTACGTAGTTTGGAGCACAGTTTTTCTTTGACCTAAAACAAGCCGTTTTTCACTAAAACATCTATCTGAAAGTTTTCAAAAATCAATGGTACCAATCGATTCCTCAACCCCATAAAACTTTTTGTCAAGCTATAACGGAGTAGCTGTAGAATAGAAGTGAGCATTATTGTTTCAGACAATGTTTTTTTCGCCGTGACACATACACAGATACTGAAAGATTTTATTTGATATGACACTCCCTCAGTCTAGAGAATAAGTCAAAGGAAACTATACCGTTGGCTAGAGTAATCAATACCCTTGGAAATGATATAGAAAGAAAAAAGTGCTGAAACTTTAAAGAAACATAGAAAATTGATGACCATTAGAAGAGAAAGAGAGAACAAGAAAGACTTCAAACTCTACAAAAAGAACTATTCATTGTTTTTTTTTGTTTCTTTTCATGCTTGCAAAATTTTTGTTTTCCTTACATATATGAAATCGTACATGGAAATCTTCTTAGAATTTTGAAAGCTTAACATTTCAGATATTAGAAATAATTATCGACACAAAAGAATTCTTCCGAAGTCCTTTTCTTAAAGAATAAGTTACGAAAAGTACTTTCTTGTGCATGAGAGACAATGATCTCTTCGACAATGACAACGATTCATTTTTATTGTTCATTGTAGTAACTCTCAATATTCCAATCGATGCTCGATGGTCACGGAATGGAAAGACCGTTGCTGGAGGGAATGGAGAAGGCAATGCCACAAATCAACTCAACAAACCTTGTGGTCTCTTCGTTGATGATGATCAAACGATGATCATTGCTGACCACTTGAATCATCGTATTGTCCAATGGAAGATGGGTGATACGAATGGACAAGTTGTAGTTGGTGAAAAGGGCCAAGGAAATCGCTTAGATCAATTGAATTATCCAACCGATGTGCTAATCGACAAAGAGACTGATAGTCTCATTATCTGCGATTGGGGAAATAGCCGAGTCGTGCGATGGTCTCGTCGTAGTGGCACAACTCAAGGAGAAATCCTCATTGACAACATCGTTTGTTCGGGATTGTTCATGGATGATCAGAGATATCTCTACGTCTCTGACTGGAAAAAAGATGAAGTAAGACGATATCAAATAGGAGACAAGAATGGAATTATCGTGGCTGGTGGAAATGGCAAGGGTGCTGATCTCAATCAACTCAACGTTCCGACCTACATGTATGTCGATCAACAACAGACTGTCTACGTGTCAGACAACAACAATCATCGTGTAATGAAATGGAATAAAGGTGCAAAAGAAGGCATTGTCGTCGCCGGAGGTCAAGGTGAAGGGAACGCTCTGACACATTTGTGGCATCCTAACGAACTCTTCATCGATACGTTGGGTACCCACTATGTGGCAGATTCAAGAAATGATCGAGTGATACGTTGGCCTAAGGGAACAAAACAGGGTACTGTTATTGCGGGTGGAAATGTTGAAGGAGCAGGAGCAAATCAGTTCATTAGTCCCATTAGTTTGTCCTTCGATCGACAAGGCAATCTTTATGTTGTAGATAAGGATAATAATCGTGTTCAATTTTTTTCAATTCAATAAATTGTATTCGAATCGAAAAAAAAAATTTTTTTATTTCTATTCGCGCGCGCGCGACCAGGAACCATCTTGGTGGAGCTGTGGCGAGCGTAGCGCTCGTACACGTGCGGGAAGACCCACATCATTCACATGCAACCACCCGGTGACATGCGTCAGTGAACCTGGGCCCGAGCGTATTGCTACAGACACCAAGACAGTTCCTGGCCAGTGTTTAAGGTCTATCCAGAAGAACTGATGTGGTACGAGACCTCAACCTAACTTATTCTCCTCTCAACTCAAACTCAATAATTAAAGAAAAGAAAAAAAAAATAATTACTCACCCTTCCCTAACGATGTTGATGACTGAAACGAAAAAAAAAGAAAATTAATACATATAGAAAGAGAATTAGTGAAAAAAAGATACACACATTTTGTTTTATTGTTTTCATATTGTCTTGATTTAATTTTGAGTTGTTGAAACCAATATCTAAAATATAAAAAGATCAATCGAAGTCTTACTACCTTCGAAATGATCTTTAAGAAAAAAAGAAAAATTGAAAACTAATACCTACATTTTTAGTTTTGATCGTGTTGTATTGTATTGATATTGAATTGATTAATTTTGAGTCTTTGAGAAGTAACCTAAAATATAACGGCTTGAGCGCGTAACGCGTAACTTTAAGACCGGAAGTTTGAATTCATCATATACGAAATTCATTGTCACCACCTTGTAGAGCATGGTCTAAAGTGTAGGGAAATATATTTTGTTCCATTAATAACTATGTCAAAGTGTATTTGGTAATTTGTAACAGAGATATTACTCACATTTATAGAAAATTCTTCTATTTAGACCGCTAATGAACCTAACCCATATATCGAAGCAGTTTGAAATAAACAAAGTTGATTAAGACTGATCAAGACTATGATAGCAGATGTGTCTTTTGACATAACAAATGATTTTGTATGTGTTATACTTTTTTGTAACGAGTTTATCTAAAACTACCACTTTATAACGTCATCGCGTAACGAAAAATGAATATTGTTTTTTTTTCATTTGTCGGTCTTTATTTTTTTTGGCAAAAAATATATATCTAAAGCTAGTTTTTTATGAGCTATCTAATACACCTATTTTTCCCAGAGAAAGATTCTGTTTTATAATAATTTTACGTAACGCGAGACGTTTTTTGTATTTTTTATATCTATGAAAAAAATATTTCCATATAGTAGTTTCTTAGGCAAAACCACTATAAACTATATTTAATGTATTCTTTATTAATTA